TGGGTTAATTAAGACTACGAGTATTTTTCGACTTAGCATCATTTTTTCGATCATTTTACATACAACACTGATTAGTGAATTATTTGTAAAATCTGGATATAAATTATTATTAAAATGAAGATGAATCTAAACAAATATAGAAATAAATTATACATAACAATAGGGCGAGTAATATTGAACAAATTTTCCGTGGAAAATTAATAAATGGTAAATAGAAGATTGAAGTAATTTTGTTACCGTAGAAATAACAATGAGGACTATTAGTAGTGTTGCATGACCATCCCACTCGAGAATTGAGACATCTTTCTTCCTCTATTTTAGAAGAGAAATCATTTTTTTTAACAACTTATGTCCATACCTATTGGTAAAGTTGTTCCCTTTATTACCACTTTCTTTGATTAACTTTGGGAAGTGAGGTGAAAGAGTTGTCCCCATTCACTAAATTCTATTCAATTATTGGTTTGATAAATATGTTTTACTATATGTTTAGGAGTCAGGGATAAACTTTAACTTTAATTGGTTAAGGCACTAATAAAAAGTTATAAATTTAAATTTCCACTCTCACATTTTGTTGTAATAAAAAAAACATTATTATTATCTTTATTAAAATTGTGTCACTGTTTGATAAATGACTCATTTTCATTATATCGAATGATATACATTGCAATGCATGAAGTTTATCATTAGATGACTTAATAATATATATAGACTTGCATAAAGTACAATATTAACTAGGAGAATCCCGAGCCCATCTATCCCACTTGATCAATGTCATGCCTATCACTCTCAAGTAACTTTTATCTATGCTATGACTTGATAGATATATTCAGTTCTAAAGTCGAGACGTTAAGAGTTGGGAGATTAACTAGATTTGGTGATTCAACTGTGTCTGGCTATACTTACTAGTTAAACTTGATTAGCTAGTTAAGGTTACTTTTAGCCATGAGTGGAATAGTTGAACTTAGATCGCCTTCACACCCTCCTTATTAAAACATAAAATTCAGATTTAAACTCTTATATTTTAGATGCACATGGCCACAACAAGTAGGAGTAACTAAGCACATGAGTAATTATACAAACCTAACAAACTAAATTAGTTAAAATAGTATAACGTGTTAAACTATTTAATTAATAGTTCCAAACACATTGCAACATTTTATATCATAAGATGATATCTAAAATATTGAACTTTTGGAATATTAATTTAGATTTAGAATACCATATATTTTCGAATATAAATTTGAATATGACATTTAAGAAATTTATAATGTTTCAAATAATATTTCAAATCAACCTTAAGGATAACCCAATAGTTTAAAACTTTGTCCCTCTTTGTTAGGGTGGTAAGTTCAATCTCCCGTTCTCCCATTTCCTGTTAAAAAAAAAAAAGAATATTTTAGATTTGAGAATTAATAAAATTCTCATGGAATACTGCCAAAAACAAAGTATTAAGTAGGGAAAAGGCAATTATTTTGATTTTGGGCACTTTCTCTCCTCTCATCTTTCCTTCTTCAACACCTAAAAGTCGTATTCTCTCTCAGATTTTCTGTTGTGAATCCATTACATATGCTGTATATTATCATGGTCCCATAGATAGATACATAGATATCAGTTATCACATACATTTACATACATTATCTCGTGAACGTTTGTTGTTAGAGAGAGAGAAGGTGGTTCTTTCTTCTGACTCTCTTTTTCTTATAGATTGAGAGGAGGAAGATGAACAGAACAGTACCCATTTGGCCATTTGTTTAAAAAACGTTCTCTCTGCTCTTCTGTGACAGGCTTTAAATAAAACAAATGCCCTCTCAGTCTCTGACTCTGCCTCCTACTCTCAATTAATCCTTCTTTTTCTCTCTCTCTCTGTTTTTCTTTTTTCTCTCTTTTCTTTTGAATTTTCACATCACTCAGTGGAAGGAAGAAGTGGGATTCATTTTTTTTTCGTGCAGAAAAACCCAGAGAGAGAAAATAGAGGAAAGCAGCCACCTGGCCTTTGGATTGCCATTGGATGTTTGTTTTCTTCTGTTTATACTTTCTCTGTCCACTCACAAACCCACAATTCCCCTTTTGCTTTATCTCTCTTCTCAAAATTTTTTTTTTCCTTAAAATTTTCTGTGGGTTGGTTTGGTTTTGTTATTTCTATTTGGGTTTTCTTTTCGTTTTCTCTTCCTTGTGTTTTAAGTCCTCGAAATTGGCGTCTGCGTGATAAAGACCAGAGGATTCTGTTCAAGCCCTTCTTCAACCTGTGGTCTTTGAGGGAGAAGCAGAGCACTAACTGATGAAGGAGAGAGGAGGCTCTCTTGGAGGAGAGAGCCTGCCCGGTAAAAAGACCAGCAACACCAACACCGCCAAAGAAGAAGACCAAGAGGAACCTAAAATCCCATTTCTCTAACTTCCTCATTTTCCCTTACCATCTAATTTTGGTCCTCTTTTTCTTGTGGGTTTCGAATCTTTTTGAGCTCTGAAATCTTCGGTTGCCTCTTCGTTCGTGTTGGCTAGAAAACGTTTATGGCGCTTGTAATGCACAAGGATTCATCAAATAAACAGATGGATACGAGCAAATATGTAAGGTATACACCCGAACAGGTTGAGGCATTAGAGAGAGTTTACTCAGAATGTCCAAAGCCCAGCTCTCTGAGAAGGCAGCAGCTCATTAGGGAGTGCCCAATCCTCTCTAACATTGAGCCAAAACAGATCAAAGTTTGGTTTCAAAATCGCAGGTATAATCTTTCTTTCTAAACTGCTTTCTTATTTTAGTCTGCCTTTGAACTTGCTGCATCTTTTTCTCTTCTTTTCAAGAACGATAACCTTTCTTACAGAAAACGTATACGTTTTTGTTTGTTTATATTTGCTCTATCTGCAATAACATCTAAAGTTTTGGTTTGGGGTCTGTGCTTGTGGTACATATGGGTAAGAAGTTGAGTAGCTGTGGAAGATGGGTTTATGTGGAAATCATGTTTTTGATTGAAAATAACCACATCTTTCAATGGTAATTCTATATTCAGTAACTTTATTAGTCTTTTCCAATTGTTTTTGTCTTCTTCTTCTAATTGGAACTGGATCTCCCCATGATTATGAGAATCTTACCTACAGTTTAGCCTTTTTGGGCTGAAATTAATGTAAACTTATAGTCCAAAATCTTTGCTGATGATATTTCTAACACGGTCGCTATTACAGTGAAAAGAAAATGCCCATCCTTGTTTTTAGGGTTGAAGTTCTCTCTTGCTGGATTACTGCCTTCGGTGGTTTGGGTTTGAACTATGAAGTTTGAACCGAAACTATTTAACCTAGTGGTTAGTGTTGTAATATTTAGCAGTATAGATTTCTCTGCTCTTGAAGTCGCTAGTTTTCTGGTCCAAAATTCTCTCTTTATCTCTTGGGTTAGGTCTTTTCTAGTTCTGGGCAAACTGTACTGAGAATTTTTTATGGCTTTAAACAGGGTTTCCTTTTTTCTTATTTGGATAATATTAAAGCGAAGACTTTTTATACATGTGACACGTCTGTCATTTTCAAACACTAAATATTTTTTGTAAGCTTCTGTTTTTTACTGTTTCCTCAATGTCTTGATTATCAGTCATGGATCTGCATTATCACCGAACAATTTCACAGTTTTTTTCCTTTAAAAATTCCCATGTAGATGCCGTGAGAAGCAGAGGAAGGAATCTTCCCGCCTCCAGAGCGTAAATCGAAAGTTGTCTGCAATGAACAAATTGTTGATGGAAGAGAATGACCGTTTACAGAAGCAGGTGTCCCATTTGGTTTATGAGAATGGGTATATGCGCCAGCAACTGCATAGTGTAATCCCCTTTACCTCCATTCTTAACTATCCAGTAACTCTTTCTTTCAGTTGGTTTAGTTTTCGTCGAATTAGAACTGTCATCTTGATGTTTGTCTTTCAACAGTTGTGTTTTTATTACTATTATTTCACAATTTTAGTTCCTTTAAAACTGAATTGTATCATTCAATTTTGATTTCTTCTGTGTAATTGAGAGCTCTTCTTGTCTATTAAACAGGCATCTGGGACGACTACAGACAATAGCTGTGAGTCTGTAGTCATGAGCGGTCAGCCCCAACAACAGCAAAACCCAAATCCTCAGCATCCCAATAGGGATGTCAACAACCCAGCTGGGTTGGTATATTTAACTCTTTGCCTTATATTTCGATAGTTCCTTGTCTACCTCGCTTTATATTGAAATTGCTTTTATGAAATGTTTGGCGTAGTCTTCTTGCGGTAGCTGAGGAGACCCTGGCAGAGTTCCTTTCCAAGGCTACAGGAACTGCTGTCGACTGGGTCCAGATGATTGGGATGAAGGTAAATATTCTCTGAATTATATCATTTTGAGCACTTGTGAATATAAACTTTATCTTGTAGGTTGTTAGTTCAGTTTCTAACTTTCTAGATGTAAATTTTACTTAATTTTCTTAATGAATATTCTCAATGTTGCACAGCCTGGTCCGGATTCTATTGGAATCGTTGCTGTTTCCCGCAACTGCAGTGGGGTAGCAGCACGAGCCTGTGGTCTTGTTAGTCTAGAGCCAACAAAGGTACTTGCTTTATGAACTAATTTTTTATGCCCTTGAAAATGATGCTTTGATTTTGGGAATTTTCTTGTGTGTGCATCATGTTCATGTACATGAAATTTAATTAATGCAGGTTGCGGAAATTCTTAAAGATCGCCTTTCATGGTATCGTGACTGCCGTTGTCTTAATGTTTTAAGTGTAGTCCCTACTGGAAATGGGGGAACAATAGAGCTCATATATATGCAGGTTAGTTTTACTATTCTTTCTGTCACTTTTTTCATTCTACCATTACTAATTCCATCTCTGTTTTTACATATTAGACTTATGCGCCAACAACGTTAGCAGCTGCACGTGACTTCTGGACGATGAGATATACAACAAGTTTAGAAGATGGCAGTCTAGTGGTAGATTTACTGTGCTTCTTTTTAACACCAACTTTTACATCTTGATTAGAGAAATTCTACCTTTCATTCTATTTATTGTTACCGGACATAACAGTCTAATAAGCATTGTATTACTTTTCTTTTTGAATGATTTGCAGGTATGTGAGAGGTCACTGACTTCTTCAAGTGGTGGCCCAGCAGGGCCTCCGCCATCTAGTTTTGTGAGAGCTGAAATGCTTCCTAGTGGCTATTTAATACGAGCGTGTGAGGGCGGTGGATCCATTATTCACATTGTTGATCACATTGATTTGGATGTAAGCCCGATCCTGCTCAAGTATTTAATCGCCATATTTCTTGATTTTTGATTTACTTTTATTAATCTGCTTCCATTCTATTTGTAGGTTTGGAGTGTCCCTGAAGTTCTTAGGCCACTTTACGAGTCATCCAAGATCCTTGCTCAGAAAATGACAGTTGCTGTAAGAATTGTTACATGAGGTTACATTCCTTTGACAAGTAAATCATAATTGTTCTCACTTTATATATGGGTCAAATATGATTTCAGGCATTACGTCACATAAGGCAAATTGCTCAAGAGACTAACGGAGAGATTCAACATAGCGGTGGACGTCAACCAGCGGTATTGCGGACATTCAGTCAAAAACTGTGCAGGTAGTATTTGCATGAACATAGCCTCTGGGCAGTGCCACTTATTTACTGTTGAGAACATAATCCATAATGATTTCTGATATTTAGTTATAATTATATCTTGAAATGGTCTTTAGGGGTTTCAATGACGCTGTTAATGGGTTTGCGGATGATGGTTGGTCACCTTTGGGCAGTGACGGTTTGGAGGACGTGACGATTGTCATAAACTCATCGCCAAACAAATTTCCTGGATCCCAGTATAACATGTCCATGTATCCCTCTTTCGGCGGAGGAGTGATGTGCGCAAAAGCATCGATGTTGCTTCAGGTGATTCATTAATTAGTGTGACATTTTACATCTGCACGATCGGTTATTGGTTTTAATCTCAACTCGTCTACTCGTTGTCTGCAGAATGTTCCCCCTGCTTTGCTTGTTCGGTTCCTGAGAGAGCATCGGTCTGAATGGGCCGATTATGGGGTTGATGCCTACTCTGCTGCATGTCTAAAAGCCAGTCCATATGCTGTTCCATGTGCAAGACCTGGTGGCTTCCCAAGCAGCCAGGTCATCTTGCCTCTTGCTCATACTGTGGAGCACGAAGAGGTAATGGTTTCTATCGTTCAGAGAAATTCCTTCAGTCTGTTCTTACTGTAAATCTGACAATGTGTTGTACAGTTCTTGGAGGTGGTTCGTCTGGAGGGCCTTGCATTCTCCCCCGAAGATGTTGCTTTAGCTGGACGAGATATGTACTTATTGCAGGTTTGTTTACTACGTTCAAGCTGGATCTAATCCAATGTGTGTTTTGGCTCATGATATATTTTCTCAACTTCATGGCAGCTCTGTAGTGGGGTTGATGAGAATGCAGTTGGAGCTTGTGCTCAGCTTGTGTTTGCTCCTATAGATGAATCATTTGCTGATGATGCCCCTCTACTTCCTTCTGGATTTCGTGTCATACCGCTGGATCCTAAAACGGTCTGTTACTACATTTAATTATCGTCTTGTGCTTACCCTTTTTTTGTGTGTTGATACCTTAAAATCTATAAGAAGCATAAGTTAACATGCTCTTCCTTACCACTATTTCTTATACATTTCAGGATGAACCTACTGCTGCTCGAACTTTGGACTTGGCTTCTACTCTCGAAGTCGGTGCCAATGCTTCACGTCCTGCTGGTGAAACTGATCTGAGTAGCTACAATCTTCGGTCAGTCTTGACTATTGCCTTCCAGTTCACTTTCGAGAATCACATGCGCGACAATGTGGCTGCTATGGCCCGACAATATGTTCGCAGTGTTGTGGGGTCTGTTCAGAGGGTTGCCATGGCCATTGCCCCATCGCGGTTGAATTCCAATATGGGACTAAAGCCCCTTCCCGGTTCTCCTGAAGCTCTCACTTTAGCACGATGGATTTGCCGAAGTTACAGGTACGTAATACGGTTCCTTGGAAAAATTGACTTGTTTTTCTTCATGTCTGGTTTAAGCGTATGAAAGGACTCGTGAAAAGTGCTTATTTCAATTCTGATCTATAGTGAATCCCCATGCCCCCCAATAGAAACAATCTCTTCAGCCGTACTTACTACAATTTGGTGTTTCAGGATACACATAGGAGCTGAGCTTCTTCAAGCCGATTCCCAGTCTGGGGATGCCATGTTGAAGCAGCTCTGGCACCACTCAGATGCGATCATGTGTTGCTCCGTGAAAACCAATGTAATCGACGTTTCGGCCGTGAATTGAATTATATAACTAGTCATGAAACTCCTTCAAAATGTTAATATGATTTGGAAAATTTTTATTGCAGGCATCTGCTGTGTTCACCTTTGCTAACCAGGCTGGTCTGGACATGCTCGAAACCACTCTCGTAGGCCTGCAAGATATAATGCTTGATAAAATTCTCGACGAAGCAGGTCGGAAGATTCTCTGCTCAGAGTTCCCCAAAATAATGCAACAGGTAAAAATAATTCTCGACCATGATCTATCTTCTGTCATGAATAACATCGACACATTACGAACATCTTACATGTAGTCGTACTTTCCCGTTGCAGGGATTTGCCAATCTGCCATCGGGTATTTGTGTATCGAGTATGGGCCGTCCCATTTCATACGAGCAAGCTGTTGCCTGGAAGGTTCTAAATGATGATGGTTCCAATCACTGCCTAGCTTTCATGTTCATAAACTGGTCGTTTGTGTGATGGAGAAGCCTATGACTTTGGTTAACTGTCCTATCAAGTAATGCGTTTGTAATTTCAACTTTAGACATGATGATGGCTTATGTAGTTTACTTCAGGATTTCTTAACTTCTGGTATTTTGCTTTCATTGTCTTTTCTGGTTGGAAAAACTAATGCTCCAAGTCCAACCATGGAGTTTAGCTGGGGAAGCTACTTGGATCTTTTTGTTTCCAACTTAGACACCATGACTCAATGTTGTTAATTTCATGAACACTATTATGCAATGTGGACTTATCTTTCTGCATACGACTATGGCCTGCTTCATTTCACAGCTTTTGATGGTTTCGGGTTCTGTTGGATTTCTGTTGTTCCTTTAGTCTTGACCAGAAAACCTTAGAGAGAATAGAAAATAACTAACCTACTACTGCAACAAAAAGAAAGTTGTACAAAAAATCTGAAAAGGAAGTAATATCATGGTAAGAAAATAAATCACAAAAGAAAGGTTTTCTTGGTGTATTTTTTAGGTTAATTTTGGTGGAGCTCAAGTATATTGCAGACAGTTAATGAAATAGACTGCTAGTTAAGAAGAAAACAGTTCAAAGTTAAAGGTACTAAATTTATAACCTAACCAAAATTTTACAGCAGATAAAGACAATAAATTTGGTTGCAGAGGACAAAGGCAGTTTGGCAGCTATCTCTGTAATTGGGCTATGGGGGTAATATTGAGGTGCAGCCAGGGCACTGCAACAAAACAAGTAAGAAATAAATAATGGGCAGTTCAAGTCTTAACAAACCCAACAGTATTTAACAGGAACTCATTAATGTGGAAGACCAGAAGAGAAGAGAGGGGATTTGAGCTTCAGCTTCATTTATGGTAAAAAGATACACCTAGCTGAGCTAATTTCCTTCTTCCCTTCATAAGAAGTCATAAGTAAGTAGACACTATTTTGGACAGAGGGTGGGTGTAAAATCAGTCCATCAGACCCATAATGATGATCTTTGAAACAGCAGCGGAGCAGACAAGGATCTTCCCCTTTTTGGTTTTTCCTGCCTTTCCTTTCCTCTCCATTTTCTCTGTATCCAAACAAGGATTGGATTTTGGATATTGATATTGATATTGGAGGGTCTAATCATACTTCAATTTTTCATCTTTGTTTCTTTTTAAAGTTCCCATTGTTTCTAATGCATGTTCGATGGAACGGGTTTTGTCTCCTCTCACTTTGATATGGTATCATAGTTAGTGGTTGGTACTCACCCTCATCAAGAGCCAGGAATTAAATTTCATTTTTTTTATGTAGCTTTTTTATTAGAAAAGAAATAGGTGTGGGGGGTAAAAGGGTGAGTGCGAAAGGTACTGTAAACTGTAAATGTAATCTCGAGACTGCTGCCAGTCCTTGTCTGTGCAATTTTTTTCCCCCAAAAAGACATGTAATTATTTAAATGAACTATAAAAATTGGAAAGACAAACTCTATTCCCTATCTTCTTGGTGGTGCAGACTTAATTTAAAGCTTTGCCTCACTCTCTAGTCACCCTCCCTGTTTTGTTCATTATTCTGGTAGTGATTTGTTCATGGTTGATTAAATAAGTTGGTCATTGTAAAGAGTAAGAGTAAAAAGGAGGAATATTTAGGGTTTAAAGTGTTGGAAAGGGATGGTGGGAGGGTTCCAAAAGTGTGTTTTGTTTTGGTTCTATAACTATTGCATAGACGCCATTCTCAAGGGTGGATTGTCCCTACAATGGCACTACCAGCCCTGCTCAGTGCCCAAAGAGAAAGGCATTAAAGTGCAAAGTTTCAAAACCCAAGAAAAAGAGTGGTGGAGAGAGAATCTATCTGAGTCTGAATTTTTTGTAAACCCTAGGGGAGGGGGAGGGGGCTAGGGTTCGCAACCCATGACAGTGCATATAAGAAAAAAGAGAGGATCTTTCAGATCTCTGGATTTGCAGCTGTTTAAGATTTTGTAAGAGTTTGTAGATGGAAACTAGCCTTATCATGCCTGCTTAGACTCTAAATCCATAGGGTTTTTTCAAATTAACACCTCCACTCCCCACATTCAATTCAGATTTGACTGGTCCAATCTATTTTAACATCTATTATAATTACCCTTTCTTCTTTTCTTTTTCCCTTCCTTTCTGGTTCAAGAAACAAAATATAGTCCTCAAAACTAAATATAGAACATTTTTACACGTTTGAATTGGTGAAGCTTAAAGTTAAAGAAGCCATAAATTATCTATATCTAGCTTGTATTTGAACAGTAAAAAATGAATTATAGAAATTTGGACGAATTTATAGAGTAATATTTAAGTTTTTATCTGTGAGTATGTTTTCCTTACCACTATTAAAAAATTGGTAATTAAGAGAAATAAATGCATAAAAGAAGAGAGAATAGATTTTTTTATCAAAAGAAAATAGTTGTCTATTTTTTAATGGGGAAAGTATCGATAGACACCTAAATATTGTTCAGTTAGGCATGCAGTGAAAGAATAAATTTCACACTTCACTTATGTAGTACACTGCCTAAAACACATGGTCGAATTCTGAACTTCAAATTATACAAAAACCTGATTACTTCTTTTAAACCAAGTGGGAAACATTAAACTCCACTCAAGTCACTATCTCTTCTTCAACTGGACTATAAAGAAAAATAATAATAAAAAATACATATCTTTTTCTTTTAAAAATTATAAAATGACTTTTTCAATATACGTGTATCACACATTCAATGGGACCTTCAGCCATAACTACATTTTACAGGGCTGAAAATTTTCAATTCAAATATTAATTTTCTATCATGCAGTGAGTCATGGGTTTTACTGTAAAAGCCCAATGATATTCCACTTGCAGCCCAAAAGACGGCCCATCTTCATCAACGTGCTGAACATGCAAACAGAGTTGGCTGTTAGTGTCTTATTAATACTAATCAAATCAAATTCCCATCTCAGTTCAAACTATTGTTCAAGATATCATTAAACAAACGAGAAAGAAAATAAGATGGACTTGCCAAGTGTTTATTAGTATACAGACGCTTGAATTCTAAGAAAAAATTTATATAATCAGAGGAAAAATCAACAAAAATGAACTCATCAAACGTTGGCTTGGACGGTTTTCATTACCACGTGCATAATCACTGAGACCAGTTTTTTTGCCATCTGCCAATGAAATTAGGGGACCTTCAATTAACTTAACAAGAGCAAGTAAATATTCTCTAGCAACTATTTGATTGGATGAACAATGTGCACTAGCTAATAATATCATTTCAACAATACCATTTTTCAGCTTCATTCAATCGATAACATCATGGCAAATCCCTTTACAATAGGAAAGTTATTGCACAATCCAATCCAAATTAATCATAGCTTCCTTCAGCTACCCAGATTGAGCATGTCTGGCGTTTTTTACTTCTTGGGTTTCATGTAAATCCAGGGACTTCTCCTGGCATTGGAGCCAATTCATTCTTACTGAACCTCTCCTCGTCATAAAATGTAGCTCGAACCACCCTTCCACCGAAGTACCGACCATCAAGATCAACCAAAGCCTTTGTCGTTTCTTCTGATCTTTCAAACTGCACAAAAATTCGAACAGCCTCGTCTACTGGAAAATTGGGTTCTGTAATCTCAAATATCAGAACCCGTGTTACTGTCCCGTACTTTGCACACTCTGATCCTACTTCCTCTTCTAGCTCATCATCTACCTCACCAGGACCCACCTTCAAGAAAAATCAAAGGCAGCTGTTCTCATCATTCTCTTCATGAAAAATAACAAATTAGATGCCCAATAGATGCCGACTGAAGAAAATTGTAACAGTTTCTATTATATGAAAATGCTTCAATCATTTAGATATTCCTCGATGATAAAGTTACATGGCTTATACATAAATATAGCATGCTGTATGCATGTGCGATGTGATTTATTAGACTGAAATTGATTCTGAGTTTATTAGGAAATAACCCTACAAGTTGATACTTCTTTTAACATAATGATGAATCCCTCCCTTAATTGATATCGTCTTTCTCCTGTTCAAATAATTAAATGCCATACACGTACAGGCATTGGAGAGGCCTGTTCTCTCCCTCCTTTTCACTCATAAGCATATATACACTGCCATTCCTTCTTACTATAGACTAACACTAACTAACAACCTAGCTGCGAATATTGACAACACCCACAACTATTTTTTAATTCAAAACATTTTAGAGAGACAGACAACAACTACAACTATAAGCTAGCTAACATAAAAAACCTGAGGGTCCTCACCAACATCGACTTTCCTACCCCTCATAGTACAAGCAATTATAGGTCATACATTCCATTACATAATTAAACAGTATAAAATACTAAGGCTCAAATAACCTCTACGAACAAACATGAAATGATGAACTAAGTTTTATAAGTTCCGTAGATCGAAAATTTTGAAAAATTCAACCAAAGTTGATAATGTAAGCTAGATGTAACTCATAACCCAATTGGAGGTTTGCAAAATAGAATATAGAAAAGAACGGCTTCTGAAAAACTAGAAATCAACTCACACTCTAAAAGTACCTCTTTACCAACGAACTTCATTAAAGCCCTAATAGTATCATACCACAAAGTAACTTAAACATTCAGTAGTCACCTATCGCAAGACATGTTTGTCCACTGATCCAAAAAAAAAATTCTTTTTTGCCCATTGTAGTTGCTATGGTAATACAAATAAGCTTATAAGCAAAACAACGGAATGAGGCAATTGAAGAAAGCATGTAAGCATACAACCGTCAAGGGGAAAGAAAACTTCTTCATTTCTCTTGTCTAGAAGGAACTTCAACCCTGCTTCGCCAACTAATCCAGGTAAACACCCTGTTCTTCAAACCCATCTATCCCCTTTCCAGTTTTGAAAAAATTAACACTTACCATGAGAAGTTACATTGAGGTTGTAAAATACTCCAAACGGTACATCACCCAAAACAAACGAGAAAGAATGAGGGGAGAAACCAAAATTGAGTTAATTACAGTGGGGAAGCATAATTGGAACAAGAACTATGCTATTTTGCTAAATCCGTACCCTAAACCAAACCCTATTTCTTCCCATCTTGTATGTTTTTCTTCAAATAATTCACAATTTATTTGAGTTCATAATCAACAAATAATGGCTTGCCAACATTAAACCAAAAGATTTGTGCTTTTTTTCTCTCACAATGACAACCACAACACAGCATCTTGACTAAGTTTTCTTTGACCAAGAAACCAGGCACCCAAGAGCATCCAAACTGCTAAAACGTTTTGATTCCAACAATTCTTACAGTCAAAACAACGGAAAATGAGCATGCTTGATTCTCCTCATCTTCACAGCTTGGACTCAAAATCATAAAAGTCCATATCAGAAACTTTTACCTTCTTGAGGCAATGCCTTTTACAAGTGACAAATAAGCCTTAGTAATTAGTTCAATCATCAATGTGATCACAACTAGCTCTTTCATCAGTAATCTTACCAATAATTTGCCCGAAGAATTTATTCTCCAAATCCTTTTATCCTCCCTACCACAAGGTTGTACATCATCTAGAATTTGAATCAGACCTCTTGCCTCCTCTATTTCCTTGGTTAGATTTCTTCTCGCTAAAAGTCTTGATTTGGCATCTAACCAGAAAGAAACAATGAAACCAAGGAAAGCTGTGACGTAACCATTAATTTCCCACCCAAATATCAGCCTAGAAAGAAACTCTATTTTTGTTCCCAGCTTTTTTGCTCATAATTGGATAGGGTGATCACAGAAGGGCTTTGAAATCGACCTAATTTCCTTGCTCAAGTCAACCACTTATTTTCTTCCTTTCCATATGTGCGAGTAACTGGGCCACGACCAAAAGGGGCAAGCCAAGAGAAAATCTTAACCTCTGTGAGATGTTGATCTCCCAAGACTTTGTATAAAAATGGGGAACAAGATGTTGGAAATTGTTGTAAGTAAACGATGCAAAAATAAATTACAAGAAGAGGGACCAAAAGGCTAGGAGGAGCAAAGTGAATTATCCCTAAAACCCAGGGATTAAACTAAGACCCTGGATAATAGCTAGAAGGGAAGCCATATCATTAGCATCTCTATCTTTGAAGGGTCTCCAGAAATACAAATTCAGAGAGGGGGCAATAAATAAGGAGAACACAGGCTAAAAAGACATCTTATTCAAGCACCAAGATGTAAAGACAAGATAAACGCATTTGGAGGGAAGCATTGACCCTTCCAATATGAGTCCCATGACCAGTAGCAAACTAACAAATGGAGGAAATGAGGTAAACCCATTGATATAGCTTTCCACCTATTTTGAGGAGCACCATTAATTATTACTATGGATCCAACCATTAGGATGACATTTGTACAACCTTATATGACAATGAATCAAATTCCAAAAACATGTTACTTAAACAAATACGCTATCTTGATGTTCATACAACCCATAGAGTATGCTACATTGACCTCCCTCTTTTTTTCATCTATATTTCTAATCTCCATGTGAGTCTCTTTTCCAGAAACAAAATTAAAGAATGAATAATAATAAACTTAAACCAAAAGTGATCAACCTGAAGATGTAAGAGTTGATGGAGGCTCTGTTCTATATATAATTAAATGAGTAAATGATTAAATGAGTAAGAAAATTTTGATTAACTTTTCATAAGTGCTGTACTCTTTAAATGTTTTTCAAATGGACTAGTAACCTGAGATCTATTGTTTTGCCCTCTACGACATTCCACACAAAAAAACTGTATGCTACTATGGATTGTTTAGTCCACATTTTATTTCTTATGATTATCACAAGTAGTGCAGTGCAAAAATACTTTAGAATATCAAAACCAGTTTACCTAAAACTGGTTGAGAAATTGGCTGATAAAAATGCTAGCTAGCAGCTGCCAACAATCTAACTGCCTGACTAAGGCCTACCATTACAATTATATCAAGCGTATATCAATTAGCAGCCAGTTAAAGATACCAACGTTCCCAATATAACTTTTATCAAATCATGGAAAACCAAGATTTTTCTCGAGTGCATGCATTTCAATGATGGATTAAAAGAAGAATAGTGTGCTAAAAATGATGTTTGCAACTATTCTACAAACTGCTTAAAAGATGAAAACATGATAGGATGAATGTGATGGTTTTCATAAATTTTACGGTAAAAATGTATAAATTCCTCCAGTCTAACTAAGAAATCACGAATATTTGAATATAAATATGAGCAATATGGAAGAACGACTAAAATTATAATGCCCCAAAAACAGACTCTTGCTAAAATTTATTTCAAGTCGGCAAAATGTCAGGATTCAACCGTACCATATTTCTGAGCAGAAGAACCCGAGTAGGTTGCCCGTTGAAGTTGACACTCTTCACTTTCTTCTCTGATTTCGTATCGTTAGCGTTCACAATTACTCCAGCACGCAAGTCTGTCTTTTTCGCCATCAGAGGGGTGGTAATCCCTTGTTCCTGCTTTCCGAGCCCTTGCCCCTCTTTCCACCCCATCTTAGCCATCATTCTTTGTGCTGCCGTCATCTGCCCACCGGCACCAACTCCCAACCCGCCAGTCTCCGACTTCCCAATGGTGAAGCCGTCTGCGGCACTTGGCGGTGATGGCGATCTTGGTATTGCCCCACTCTTCGCCGCGCGCCTTCTCCAAGCTTCCTCGCCTGAAATATTTAACCTAGAATCGGAATAATCTCTTTCTCGCTCCTCACGCTCCTTCTTCTCCCTCTCTTCCTCCTCTTGTCTGCGCCTCTCAAGCTCCTTCCTCATCTCAGCCTCCATGGCCTTCCTCTTCTTTTCCATCCTATACTCCTCGTAGTCATTCGGCCTCGCTGGATCATACTCTTCTACAACCGTCGACGTCACGGCGACCAATGCCGGTTGCGTTATGGCCTCGGCCAGAATCGGCTGAGACTGCTCCACTGACGCTGACGCGGAAGCCTTCGGGTGCGTCGAGGTGGCTGCTTTTACTTTGCTTTGAGATCTGAGAACGGTCTGTGGCGCGAAGACGGACGACGGCTTACGTAGGGTCGGCGGCGCCATTTTTGTGCTGCTCGACCAGACGGTGGAATTGCTGGGCTTGTCTTCCTCGGCCGAAGAGGGTGGAGGGAGGTCTCCATACAATCCACCGAGCATTTCGGACGCGTAACCTTTGTCTTCTCTCCTTGGAATCTCTGAAACACGAGGAATTTCAAATTGGAAAACGGAATCGGGGGAGCTTTCAGTTGACACCGGTCGGCGAATTCTGCAAAATTTACGAGTACTCAGAATTAGGGATTTGAGTGACAGTGATGAGTAGAAAGAGGGATTTTACCGTTACGGACTCGTAACTTTTTTCTTCTTTTTTCCAAATAATTTTTGGAATGATAAGCTGCCCTTCTATATGGATATACATATTAGTTTTAATATTTTTAGGAAGAAAGTTAATGAGTTGACGAATTTTGTTTATTTGTAATCTTAAATAGTATGCTAATTACCATCCTGGTCATATCATTCATCGATAGACGATAACTAACATGGTTTGAAATCTTCACATGCGATTAACTTTTTTTTTCTCCTAGTTAAAGATAAATGTTGAAATACCCACTCATACAATTATAATAGTTTAGTATTAAAATGATAGTGTAAATTAGGCTTCCGCCTCATTATTCTACTCGTCATTTTATTAACTTCAACGTCGTTTGAGCAGTTAATATTTCGTCCCACTGAAAAATAAAACAGTTGTATCTTTTATACACGAACATAAATTTTGAATTATTATCATTTTGCAACACTCAAATATGACTGTTAATATGAGCATAGTTCAGCGATAATTAACATATATCTTCAACCAAGAGGTTGTGAGTTCGATCACCACCATTACATGTTTTTACTAAAATATGACTTTTATATAGTTGTGGTCATTATAAGTCTTCTTGATATTGTATTTCATATTAATCCATCGATGATCTATACTATGATCTTTATTTATGGATTACGAAATCTATATACCTTTAATGATGTGGTGAACCTCGTTTATTTGAAATATTATATAGCCCTTGACTGTTTGGATGTATTAGTCTGGTGAATATGAACCCTCCCAAATGTTCACTATGATTTTATATCATATTTTAAGGTTCTCCGTAATTTCATTCCAAATATGTACTATATTTTGTAATGAATAATTATATTAAAATATATAGCTCAAGTAGAGTTCGAATATCAATATGATCATACCTTGTCTAAATTTAGATGTTTAATCATCCACCTTCATGTTTGTTCAACTAAACAAAAGATCTATTCAAACGTATCAAGTCAATAAGCAACGTGAAGTTGACATGTTAATATAGACAACACCATTGGCTTGTTGATCCAGCATTGATATGTGTTGGTATAATAAGCAATAGAGTTTGTATAGTTATTTACTTATGTCCTCTGCATCATTATGCATTTGGGTATTTAATTGAGGCTATCTGACATGTCTCTTTTGGTTTTGAGCGACAATACATTATTTTATTATATATTTTTTGTTTATTTATTTAAAAATAACATTGTTTTATTATAATTAATCATTTCATTCTAATTGACTAAGATTACAACACATAGTAAGTGTCTAACATCTTCGCTGCTTTAACATGATAAGCTCAAAAATTGGAGGGGTAGCTCACAAATCTCATTGTATATTGATAGGTTAGCCAAATAGTTAACTTTAACTATTTATGCACCATACATGGACTAAACATCTTATTTTATGTTTTAGGCTAAATATGAGTTTATAAATCCAATAATAATCTTGCACAACTTGTACATTGGCCAACTAATTAATGTAAAAACAAATAAAGTGGTACAACATTTTTTTAGTATTTGATCATATTTAAATTAAATTATTTTATATCAATTGAACCACAATCCATTATCTATCAAATTTTTTTTATTATTTTTTTTTAGTACAACATGTTGGGGAGGGGATTCGAACTCACAACTTCTTGGTTGGAGCTGAACTATGTTCGCTTTGGCTATCTATCAAATTATTATGTACTTATACATGTTTTTCAATATATACACACATCTAGATATATGTGGATATTTTTTAATATAGACGATCATAAATAACTATAAACTTACATAGTAAATTGCTTCTTAATCTATATATATTTATATATGGATGTTTTTTAATATAAACGATCATAAATAACTATATAACCTTATATAGTAAACTGCTTCTTAATACAATACTTTTAGATAAATGGCTCTCGAATACTCAAAATAACAACCTATTTTGACAATGAGACGTTTTCTAACACTTTTAAAAACATATTATTATTGTGAATTACCAAAAAGAAAAAAAGAAAAATTCCCCATGAAGCAAACCCATAATTTCCCCAAAATTTATCCATAAAACATAAACCATGCGATCTCAAAATTTGTTTAAAGAAGTGGGAAAAAAAGAGGGTTTCTGTTTAAAAATGTATAGAATATTAAAAAGCCGCTCCAAAATTATTGGAAATTCCAATTATCTGAGAAACAAGGAGTGGTCAACCACTTGTTTCTTAAAGCCAATAATAGTAATAATTAATTATTACATGAAGGAAAATTTAACACGCAACTTTTTGCAGGGAAAATGGGAACATGAAATTTGATAATTTTTATAAAAATAAATTTATATATAAAACTTAAATGATATAAAAAACACGGTTCGTTTTCGTTTATAAATATAAATATAAATAGAAAACGTAAAAAAGAAAAAGAAGAAGAAAATATAAGTGAATTTTAATTATATTTTTTCCAGCAACAAAAAATTCCAATACAAATATACAAAACAGAAAAAAATGCATAATTTTCATCAAAGCCTATCTCACTCACATTCCCACGATTTCAGGTTAATATTTGCGCTTCTCTGAATTCTCCTTCGATTCTGTCGTTGCTCCTCAAACCCTCCTTTCGATCTATCCAAACTTGTTCGAATCCATGCACTTTCAGATTATACTTCTAGGGTTTCGTTGAGGCGAGTCCGGATCATTCTTTTTTGTGTGGTATTGGTGGTTTTTGTGAATCCTCGACAAAGTGGGTCGTTCAGGCGGTTCGATTTCTGGGTTTGCAGATCTGAGTTTTGCTTGACAATCACTCTCACCAATTCACCATGTTTTGGCGCATGGCCGGGTTGTCCACAGCGTCTCCTGTGAGTCTCTTTTGCATAATGTTTCTCCATCCATTTCTTCAATTGTAGCATTCATCGTTACTGTACTGTGAATTGTTTCAATTCATTATAATTCGGGCAAGTTTTTTATCGAGATTATTTTAAGATTCTACACGCTCTTCAATGAGGATCACGGATAGCAATTGAAGTTCGAAGCGTGGATTTGATTTTTAATGGCTCATTACATCAAACTTGCAATGCGTGGTCTTCAACCTTGCCGTTTTTTCATACTCAAAATGATTCTCGTCGACTTGGTCCGGTCGTACCATCCTCCCTTGTCAGCTCATACTTCTTCTTGCTTCCTGGTCCCTCGGTGGGACGTGTGGGGTTGGGTGTGACTTATCATCGTTATTTTTACTCTTTTATCTTTGGGATTTATAATTGATGAAGTCAGAGTTAAACCCATTTTTAAAACACAAAGGATGATTTGCAGATTTCACAAATGACAGAAGTGTGATTTGTAATTTTCCCTTTCCTTTTTTTTTTAAACGATGACAACAAAGAAAGTATATTGTATCCCTACTCCATTTGGATGCACCTGAAAGTATTGAATAAACCTCCTCCGTAACTCCATAGTGAAAGGGCACCAAAGGAAAAGATAATTCACCCATTGAGCACTTTGATTTTCTGTGGGTAAGGGTGTTTCTGTACGACTTCAGTGATATGATATCTTGGCTTATAAATAGCCAATAGGTGACTACGGCACAGGTCTATAAAGGAAGATTTTAAAGTAAAGGAGTCCAAGTTATTCACTTTCCAAATTCTCAAGTTCATATATTTTCGAATGTTCATGATAGTGTCTTTATATCCACGGTTGTATATTTTACGTCATTAGTCATATACTGTCAGTTACAATATCTCTATTGGACTTAAGCAAGAAACTTACTCTTCCTCCCTTCTTATCCAATATGGTGGCAAATTTCTAGGCCAATTAATTGATAAAGGTATTGATACATATGAATTTAAGGTGGCTAATGAGGGAATGATACTTTATTTGATTATTTAGAGAACGAGGCAAAGCTTGTAAAGAGGATCACATCTTTCTTAGTCAGATGTTAGACAAAGGTTTAGTAAATCGTGAGGGGCTTCTGGGAAAGGAGAAAACAATCTAGAACCACCTGTGGTTTGTAGATGGCACCCTATTTTTTAGTGCTGAGGAGCTGTTAATCTTCTGTTATCAATGCATATCATAGGCAAGTAGTTTGTCATGTGTGGGCATGTGTAACAAATTAGTTATGATGTAAGCATATGTGAATGTGGTGTGGTGGGGGGGGGTGGTAAGTTAGGCAAGTAGTTTGTCATGTGTGGGGTTTGTGCAACAAATTAGTTATGATGTAAGCGTGGGAATGTTGTGTGCAGGTAAGGAGATAAATATGACACCACTTTAAAAAGAGGGCAATTTTTTTGGTGAGTTATCTAGGGGTGGGGAGAGTTGAGGAAGCTCTTGAATCTTTGTGTGGGTATGCACTTCTCTATTTTTTTCATATCAGCGCTAGTGGGTTTTCTTGTTTCTGTATTAGAGCAGTTGGATATTAGGGATGGTAGCCTGTATAATAATAGAAACATAGAAACAAGACAGGGTTGGATATGCTGGAGGAGAAGATTGATGGTGTGCAAAGTTTAATCATTGGACTTTTCAAAAAAGTTTAATCATTGGAATACAAAGTGTTGGGGAAGAAGAGATAGTTTAGCTTTGGAAAGAGATGCGTAAATTGTTGGAGAAAGCTATGAAGTGTAGGCTGAGAAATTGGAGGATTATGGCATTTTGAAGATTTATAGAAGATAAAAGAAGATTGGTGAAGTGCCAGTTGGTGCAACAATTTCCAATGTGGTGGAACCTTGGAAGATGGAGGAGCGAGTAGCGGAGGATCCAATTGGGTTAATATCTAATAGAATTACAAACCAAAAGCCATTATTCTTTTTCAAAATGGTTCCAAATATGAGCAGAATTTAATCACAGAGGCTTAATGTGAATAAATAGTGGAGTTGAAATCGGTGTAATGGCCCAGAAAAAGTTCCAGCCACTCATGCGCTAGTGCATGGGATTAAGGGTGGCACAGTGATTTGGCGGTTGAACTTTGGGGTTTTGTAGATTGGCCAATGGCTTTCCTCCTTCATTGGGTGATAATGAAAGAAGAGCACCAAGAGGTAATGGTTCAAACTTCAAACCTTATGACTTACAGAAATTGTAAGGGCTCACATGATCCTTAATCCTTGTTGGAGGAGGTGCTGTTATACCCTCCCTTTCGTGATAAGGGACGCTTTTTGTGGCAGGCTTGGTATACCTTCCTGTTCTCTATTTTCTTCTTTATGACGATCGTAACCAGAATTTATGTCTCCTTTATAATTAATTTCAATTAGGCTGCTTTTTGTAAACTCCTGTGGGAGACATAAATTTTGGTTACGATCGTCATACCAAATGAAAGTGTCTCGTAAATTTCTTTTCCATTGAAAAACTTGCATTGAACATGGAGAGGTAACATAATATCTATTCCCACCATTACACTCTCTCATCCAAACTGCCCAGCATATCCTTTATGATTTTATTTTATTTTTAGAATTTGACAACTTTTATAATGGAAAGATGTCCAAGATGTTTACTGTCTTCTTTTTCCTGTCACTTCTAGACACCAAAAATAAACAAAATTTATTTTATTAGAATGTATAGGAAAAAAGAATTTGAACGATAGTTTTAGTTGAGAGTCGAAATGTGTACTGTAGCGTCACCAAAAAATTTAGAAATCAACTGTAGCAACTTATTTATTCATCATCAAAGGTACAATTTCATGGTGAGACCGATTTATCTTCTCAAACGTGAATGACTTGGAACACATTTTTCTATTAGTTGGCAACTCTTAATACATAACAGATCTGAACTCTTAAGCGTTATGTGGTTTCAGGGAACTTAGAATCTAGTAACGCAAATACACTTTTTTATTGCAATCCCCTTGGCCGTTACTTGGAGGTTCCATTCAATAACTTCAATCTAGTTCAGTGACTAATAAAATGACCGAGCTTCAGCAGTACTTGAATTTTAATGTAGATGTTTGTTATTTACTGATTTAATTTTCATTTGTTGCAGGTGGAGACAATTCTGGATAAGGAAAATTTTACATTAGAGGAGCTTCTAGATGAGGATGAAATAATTCAAGAATGCAAAGCTCTTAATAGTCGACTTATTAACTTGTAATATTCTTTTTGCCTATGATTTATCATACTCCCCTTTCAACTTTATCACATCTTGCTGGTCCATACTTGGCATATTCATTCTGTTGGTTGATAGGTTGCTAACACAAGCAGCAAACTAACTGATAGGATTATGCAACTCTGGTTGCATTTCACTTTCATAGTTTCCATTTACTTGATGTAACTAGTCACCTATTAGTATTGTAACTTACATCCTATTTCTACTAGTTTGTACGTTCTGCTTTTCTGTTAGTCAGCCTTTTCAGTTTGCACTATGATAGTTAACTGCCACAGCAGCTAGCTCATATAATGTATACCGCCTACCTTAATGATTGGGGAGATAATAAAAATTGGAATAGAAAAAATATGAGAATTTTACCAAGAAGGTTTCACCATATTTGGTAAATTGATGATTGTTGTGTCTGCTTTCATGCCTTGCAGTTTGAGAGATAGAACTCAGGTTGAACAACTCATCCGATATATTGTTGAAGAAGCTCCTGAAGAGGCTGAAAAGAAACGAAGTTTTAAGTAATTTTTTGCTTGCACATTACAAATACTTTCCCCCGTGCTTTATCTCTCTCCAAATTTAAAATTGACTGTTCTCATGCATTCTTCCCTAGGTTTCCTTTCATCGCTTGTGAGATTTTCACTTGTGAAGTTGATATAATTCTCAAAGCTTTAGTGGAGGATGAAGAGGTGGAGAACTTTCTTTCTTTCCCCAATTAAACGATAAATAATAAAGATAACTAATTACTGATTTTGTTGATATGGTTGTCTGCAGATGATGAGCTTGTTGTTTTCCTTCCTGGAACCTAAGCACTCTCATAGCACCCTATTGGCTGGCTACTTCAGCAAGGTATCACCTTCATAAAATTTTTAAGTCTGAATTATCTTCTGCAAATTAAGTTAGTTATGTAGCCGAAATATATATTTTCTAACAAGCAATAATCTTTCCCTTGTTTCATCCACTTTCTATGTCGTACATGGGATTTTTTTTTAGAATATCAGTTATAGAAACTTCCTCCCATTTCCAGGTTGTCATATGCTTGTTGTTGCGGAAGACAATTCCTTTTATGCAATATGTTCAAGTAAGTTTACGTGTAATTTTCATTTAAATTTTCTTCGCCTGTTTTTCAATTGAAAGATTTAGATATTCTCAATTTCATTTGACACACTCGCATGGCCAAACTATGGTGTGATACAACACAGTTTACCAGGTAAAGCTACATTTGACCTGTGTAACGTCGCATGTTCTGTGGTAGCAAGTAGGGGTTTAAGTAGACGATGCTCTGGTTTACTAAGACCATGCATATTGATGAAGAAGTGCTGGATTATAGTTGAATTTTGTATATTTGGGAAGTCTCTTATCAAAGAGTTTGGTGATGATCCTGTATGCCATTAATCTTGTTAATGTAATACTTTCAGTACATCGGCAAATTGTTTATTGCATTTTGTCTCAAGATGTTGCTAATAATCCATTATTTATCATTCAGTTCTGTACACCTTTTCCAACAACATTTTGTAATGTTTTGAAGTGAAATAACGCTAACACTTGGGTGGTTTCTTTGGATAAAAGTTATGTATACATGTTCAAGAACAAGGAGAATACTTGAGCAGTTTTTTGCCCAACTTTTTGTGTGTGTTTATCTCTCTCTTGAAGTCAAGTGAAAAGCTTTCATTTCTTATTTATTCTAGTTCTTATTGAAATATTTCTTATCCAAAAAAGATTAAGCAACATATGCAACTGTTACAAACGCTGATGGTCTTCCTTTGATCCTCACATGGTTTTCCAGGCGCATCAAGCTATTGTAAAGAAGCTTGTTGATCTGATTGGAATTACTTCCATCATGGAGGTTGGTCATCTTTCTTTGTTGCATCTGGTATTTTAACTCTTTGCTTACAATATTGGTTCATGTTAGTTACAATTATACGGTATCTGAATTAGTTTTTTTGCACTCAAGTGGTTAGTTCTACTCTTTAGCCATTTTTTTGGGTTATACAGTTAGAGCAGCATCTCAGGAGCATTAGGTTTTATGCACATCTTATTTCCTCTTGATATTTATAGTCTACATAATTATCGGGTATTATGATTTCAGACCATGACCATCATCGCCCTTCCTCTACATGGAAACTGTTGGGCTTTGAAATCTTACCGATCGTACATTCTGAAGCTCATATGAGTGGTTCTTTTTTAACAGGTTTTGATAAGGCTTCTTGGTGCTGATGAGCATCTGTATTCAAGCTATACAGAATCAATGAAGTGGATTGAAGAGACTGATGTGCTGGAGATGATAGTGGACAAGTTTAGTTCTTCAGTAAGTAGCTTTTTGGGAAAGTTATTCCTCCCACAAGAATGTTTATATGATTTATCAAATGGGGACTCTTTTTTCTTATGGAATTCACATAACTTTTCAGTTCTCCTTGTATCCCTAAGAATGTCACATTTTCCCTTTACACCCTTGCTTTTGGTGGTATCCATACTTCTGATAAGCGTCCCATGGTGAACTTTCTCGTTCACAAATAATAATCAAAAGGATATTATAATAAAATCTTTATTTTCTTTCTATTTATTATTATGTTTTTTGGATAGGATCTTTCCATTTATTATGAACATCCAAATGCAAAATTTAAATCACATTCATTTGGAATCTTTTCTCATCTCAAATAAAACTAAAAGTTTAAGGTCATTTCTAATATTTCAAATCACATCATTTAAAATCATTTATTATTTATTTTATTTTTTGAACTTTTTGATATTTGCTTGATGAATTCTTTTGTCAACCATGTTCCAACTTTCAACCCTCGGCAGTAGGATATGATAGAGTTAATTGAAAAATCTATAGATTAGTCATAGTCATAGGCAAATCTTTAATATGATCATTCTTTCAGGATTGTTCAGAAGTTCATTCTAATGCAGCAGAAACGCTTTGTGCTATTACTAGATTTGCTCCTCCTGGTCTTTTGGCTAAAATTTCCAGCCCAAGGTAGTGTTTTCCCCCTTCTAGGAGTTTTTAATTAATATACCTGTATTTTTGTCATTGGTCATCTAGTAATGGTTCTATTTTTCATATCAGTTTTGTAGGAAGATTGTTTCGCCATGCCTTGGAAGATTCACGACCAACATCTGTTTTAATAAACTCATTATCAGTCTGCATATCTTTGTTAGACCCTAGGAGGCTAACTGTTGGAACGGCTTATATATATAACCGCCCAATAACCCATGGATCTACAGTTTCAGCTACTATGGAGACTGTTGAAGGCATGTTGGAGAGTTTAGGTATTGTATTGGGTCTTGTTAAGTAAATTATTCTCAATTTATTACGCCTCATTATCAAAGTTAATAGCCATGAATCATATGGATCATCCCAATTTGATAACTTGTAGTTTACTTGTTGGGTCTTCATAGTCAAAGCAATTTTTTACTTTACGGCATTTGAAGACTTTTTTTTTTTTTAAAGAAGAAACAAGATTTTGTTCAAGTAATAAAATGTATAAAAAAGGAAGGTGTATCTGAAGACTATAACATGTAAACTTGCTTGCTCATGTTGTTTAACTTTTTCTGGGAGATGTTGAATACTGTGCTGGTCTCCATCGTTCAGGTAGGTTGCTCAAGCTTTTGGATGTTTCTTCATCAGAGAAAGTTTTGGTTACTACATACGGAAAGTTACAGCCACCTCTGGGGAAACATCGTCTGAAGGTATTTTTCATTTGATTGAAGTGAATATAGGCTGCTATAAAGTATAAACCTGTTTCTTAAAGAAACATATGAAAAATAAATAAAAGGAATCCTTAAGGCGCCACCTTTTTTTCTAAGCTTTTTTCCCTCTTAATGAAAGTATAGTGTTTTTTATAGAAAAAAGTGTACATGATAGGATGAAATATATAAATAAGTCTGCTTTTGATAAAGCTACGTTGTTGGCCACTTGTGTTTTCAAAAGGTATTGAATGAAATGATTCTTGTTAGTCAGAATCTATCTCTCTCTCAACCTGGTGCACTGAAAAGCAAAGAAAACACTTTCTGAAATGGTTTCGTATAGAGGAATAAAGGTACCTTTGGAAGTTGAACTCGAATCCACAGGTTTTGCAATGAAACCTATACTATTTTCGTGATTACCTGATGCCTTTAGAGCCTGAGGTTATAGAGGGAATTGCTGCAATTGTTTAGAGAAGAGCTTCCATGATTTGGCCAATTGGATGGGATTTTGTAATTCTGTTTCCTTTTTGAGAGTTTTTCCTTTGCATATTTCACTTTTCATTGAAATATTATGTTTCTTAAAAGAAAAGTTTCACTCTGATTGTTCCTGGAGATTGAATTTTTCAGATTGTAGAGTTCATATCGGTCTTACTCACGGTTGGTAGCAAAGCTGCAGAGCAGTTGATTAATCTTGGAGCAATCAAACGAATTTTGGACTTGTTCTTTGAGTAAGTTTCTGCATTGCTACTATAACTTGAATGTTGATGACATCCATGATGAAATTTGCTTCTATATTGACAACAGGTACCCGTACAATAACTTTCTGCATCACCATGTAGAGAATATCATAGTGTCGTGTTTAGAGAGCAAGAATTCTTCTCTTATAGAGCATCTTCTTCATGAGTGTAATCTTGTGGGGAAGATACTGAATGCAGAGAAGCATTTCACTTTGCAAGTTGATGCAAACAAGGTAAATGTCAATTTCTAGTGATCTATACATGATCTATATCCAGTATTATGAATGCTTTTTTCAAGAGTAACAAAGGAAT